TACAGTCATCTCTGCAATTACGTATGTTTCGTTTACGCGAATTTGCTCCAATGAGATCAATGAATCGGTAAAAGCTGTTTCTGAAATGAAAACTTTTACATATGCGAGTTTGCTTTTATGCAGTTTCATTCCTGGCGCTTTAAACCTACAAAGGACTAATTTAATCTCTGCGGAGATACCGGGGTTATTTTTACTACGCAATTTTCTATAGGTCAGCGTCTTACATGAATGCAACTATCGCATAACAGCAGAGATGACTGTACACATCAATCACATGAAAGAATCACAGTCAATCTTGGGGACCAACGAATTGCCGATTGTAGGTGTATAAAATATATTTATTTAAATTCACTTTATTTTATTTACGTTGTTTCAGAGCTTTAAATGTAATGCCATTATATTACTCTTCAATGTTTGGGTGCTGGGAACGCATGTCATTGACCTCCCATTGATTTTCATTATAAAAGTTTCAATTTACGCCGGTTTGTCCAGGAAAGTATCCCCGGCGTAAATCGAGGGCTACCTGTACATACTCTTGAGCTCCCTTATTTAGGTGGTAATGTGTACAAAGTTTTGTACTTGCATCCATTAACAGTAATGAGATATGTGACATGATAAATCTCAATTTTTTGCTGGCTTAAAAGCCATGAAATTCTGTGTTATGTTTTGGCCCTAAGTACACCATCAAATTGACTCTGAAAAGCAATAAAGCAAATATGCCCTACAAGTACTCATATATCCACAGTTTGAGAAAAACATGTCCATGCACCTAAGTATTAGTGTTATGGCAGTCCAATCCTGGGGAAAAATTACATAGTGGCTGTTTCTGTGCAACACATTGATATCAGGAAATAAGTGTACCATCAAAGCTAATTTACAAAACACTCTCAAAATGTACATGCTAAATCTGAAGGTAGTGCAATCTTTGCTTACAACGTTGTATAGAATTTTGTGGTAGTGAATACAACTTATTTTTCTGATTTTTTTTTAATTGAAGTGGAATGACTCATATCATAACAAATTCACTATAGCAGATAGCAAAGTTTTTTGTCATTTTGTCTTGTCTGTTGGTAAGCAAACATCCAGACTGTGCAGTGCATGTCATGTTTATTATGATTTGGAATTATGTTGCAGATCATTCGACGGAAACGTTTTTCTAAGTTGCCTTTACAGGCCAACTATTATCCTCTTCCAACCATGGCCTTCATTCAGGATCAAAAATTTAGATTCACCATTGTTACTGCTCAACCGCTTGGTGTAGGTTCACTAAAGGAGGGCCAGATTGAGGTGAGTTACTGAGAAAAAATTACTTTGGATTGACACCAAAGAGACACTAAAAAAACGTTCAGGTGATAATTCAGGTTCTTGTGGTGTCAAGGTGATGTTTGCTGTCTTCATGGGTTCAGATCACACTCATAGATATTTGTCTGTGTAAAATAGCTCAAGTAACCTCCCATATGAGGCAGACAAGGTCCTTCAAGGACTGTAGAGCTATGGAGTAAGTAATAATTTTTTTAATTAGTATGTGCAATATTATACAGCTATTTAGAAGGTAATTTTTTAATAGATATGGTCATAATTTTAAGCCAAATGTAGGTGCATGGATAAAGCATATACTGAGAATGGTGTATTTTAGACCATAATGTGTTTGTCAGTAGTCATGGAATACTGACATAAGTGTAATAACAGCTGTAGATATCTGAATAAAATAATTATACACAAAGCAGCATAGAATGAAAGGGATTAATCTCTTGTATTTCTTCAATTTAAATTTTAATGAATGAGATTCTTAACACATCAGTTAATATATTTTTGTGTATAGCAGCAGTGGTTGAAAACTTTTTGTAAATCTGAAAAAATTTTGTTCAAGTACTTCTTTTACCAATATTCTGTATGTGTGTTGCATTCAGGTGATGCAGGATCGCAGGCTAAATCAGGATGACAACAGAGGACTGGGACAGGGTGTGACAGACAACAAACCTCTTCCTGCCACATTCAGATTGATCCTTGAACAACGTCAGCCAAGTTGTCAGGTGTGTAACATATAATAGTTGTATTGTAATGTGCTAACAAAAGTCATTTTACAAAAGGGAAGCATTCCTGAAATATATTTCATAAATCTAAATTTTATAAATCTATGAGCTGGGTAGCTCAGTCAGTATAGTGACTGACTAAGGACTGGACGACCAAGGTTCAATCCCTGACGGGGGCAGAGGATTTTTCATCTACCTTCTGCGTCCAGACTGGCTCTGGGGCCAAGCTAGCCTCCTTGGGTACTGGAGTATTTTCCCGGGGGTGAAGAGCAGTTAGGGTATGATGTTGAGCACTCACCCCTATCTAGTGCTGAGGTTAAGAATGAGTAGATGTAAACCCCCCCCAAGTGCCTACATGGCATATAGTGGGACAGCTTTATTTTTGCCTTAAATTCTATAAATCAGGAATACCTCTTCCATTCATGTGAAGCTATAAATTTGAAGTGCATTGAAATTGAATCCTCGTATTAATCTGCTAGTGGAATCACGTTTGTCAGACGAATAGCCACTGTCTTCAATGATGAGTTCTGCTTCCTCTACATATTGTATGACCAATTCTATCCTTGATGCCCTTTCTTCTATATTAACATTATGCAGATTTGCAGGGTCTTTGAAACGGCTGTCATCTGGGATAATGTACTGTGTAGATTGGTAGAAGCTGACTGATGTTTCAGAGGTGCTTACTGCCTCCATAATCAGAATGTTGTGTAAGCCATGCATGGAATAGCTCGATTAGGATAAAGGAGCAAGTCAGACATGGCAGAGCCTTGGCTGGACCAGTGGGAGGGAATTGGAGTAAGGGTACACAGTGAATGGGAGAAATAGAGGGTGGGACCACAATGTGGCAGAAAAGAGAATGTAAAGCTAGAATCATGGAAGCAGACAGGAAATACAATATATGGAATGAGGACAGGAAATACCAGAAATAATGAATTCCCCCTACTTATTTTAGCTCCATTTCATTTATTTCTGTTATCTTCACTGTTGGTCCCTTGTCAGCCATTATAGGGGCTGTTTATTTCTTTTTTCATGTTGGGCCTTTATCTTTATTTCTGTGGTATTCATTTATGTACTTTCATGTTTCTATGTTTTACATTCTTACCACTTCTTACACATCCATTTAAATTTTTCCTGTTTATTGTATCTTTCATATCAAGGGTCGTTGCTTCCTTCCTTGCCTGTCAGACCTTCACCCTTATTTCCCTGGTATTCATATATTTTAGTGATGTGCGAACTATTAGAAATTTTGAGTTGATTTTAAAAACCTTGGCTTGACTCGAACTAATAAAACTGTTCGAAGAAATTGAGTTTCAACGCTTATTTTGTCATTTCCAATATCGTATATGGGATGCATTTTCTTTGTAATCGATACAGCTACAGTACTGTGCAAATTAGTTGGGACAAGCGAAGGAACGCTAAGTCCAAGCCCTGCAATGGACACGCAATCCCCCAAACACCCACCCAAGGTCATGTTTTGGGGATGTTTCACAGCTTCTGGGCCACAGAAGCTTCACCCCATTGAAGGAATGATGGACAGCAAAAAGTACATAGGCATTCTGGAGGCAAAAATGGTCCCAACACTGCGGAAGCTGTTTCCTAACGGTAATGGGGTATTTCAACAGGATCTGGCTCCATGCCACAATTCTAAGCTTGCTAAGAGCTTCTTTACCCAGCAACATTTGAAGGTATTGGAGTGGCCAGGAAATTCACCCGATCTAAACCCCATTGAAAATTTGTGGGCCATTATTAAAGCGCGCATATCTAAGATGGATTGCACGACGGAAACCAAAATGATAGAAAGTGTCATGAAAGTGTGGTACCACGACCCTGAAGTGACGGAAATGTGTGGAAAGCTAGTGGCATCAATGGTTGAGAGGGCGAAAGAAATAATTAAAGCTAAGGGGGGTCACATTCACTATTAACTACACTATTACACAAATAAATATTTTAGTTGTGTCTCTGTTACTGTATTTTCCTATTGTCCCAACTAATTTGCACAGTACTGTACCATCTACTTCCAGCTTGTAGTGTTATTGATAGTGCATAGTGAGCATCAATCTCTCACTCTACATGTATTTCGGTTGGATATATGCTCTCGCGGGAGGTGGGACTACTGATTAGGCGGGACTGTTTTGTCTTTGGTGTATCGGCTCATAACATGCAGTGCGCTTAACTGACAAAAACCAATTTCAGCCACTCTCATGTTTATGGTTTGTCATCTCTAAAATTAAACTCTTTAAGCAAAACAAAAATGTATGTAATCAAAAACATTAAATTACTTTGTAGAAATAATAATCCAAACATGCCTTAAAACTAAAACAGGACTATTTATTGCTGCTAACGAGCACTGAAAGTGAGGCATTGTTTGAATTCCACTTATTTTTTTACTGTTGCAAAGTTCATGTAAATTTTCCCTCCTTAAATGTTATGTGAAGTGTGTGTGTCATTCTTATTGTTAAGGAAGTTGAGAACTGTTACATTTGTTCCTAGCAATTATTATTAGTTGCTTTGCAGTGTAACAAGCTTAGTAATCTGTGAATAACTTTATTTCAATAATATTGTTACACCATTAATTAACAAAATCAAAAATGTCTAAATATTCAGTGATTGAATAAATTTAAGAAGGTGCTCTTGTATGGAATTTTTTTACCAAAACATCAAACAGTGATGCACAGTGCAATATGTGCAAACTTTTGCTCAGAATACCTACTGGAAGCACATTGATTTGACATTTGGCCAAGCATCCATATCAGAATAGAGAATACTGGAAGCAAAAGAAAATGGCCAGTAAAAAGGGAACACCTAAACAAACTTCAAAACAGCTGACTGTAGACAGTGACTTTGTGAAAGCAGTGAAAATGAGTCCTTCTGAGCCTAGAGCAAAAGCAGTTACCTCGGCCATTGGAAAAATGATGGTGTTAGATTATCAGCTGTATTCAGTTGTGGAAGGCAGAGGATTCCAAGAGTTGCTGCATGCAATGGAACCTTGATATCAAGTACCTTCAAGAATTGTATTCTCTAGAAGTGTTATACCTGAAATATATTCCATCAGCAAGTCAGAAATCAAACAAAATTTGACTGAAGATTTAGATTTCGCTTCATCACTATCACTCACTACAGTTATTTAGACATCCTGAGCAGAAGACAGCCAGCTATGTTTCTCTTACTTGTCATTATGTCTTATGATTTTGTAATGAAACAATACATTCTAGCTAATTTATACTTTCCTGGACAGCACACAAGATCTGCAGTGTATGAAAAACTGAAAATAACGGAACTTAGAAGCATATACATTATTACTGATAATGCCAGAAACATGGTATTGACACTCCCTGCAACAGAATGGATTTCTGTACCTTGTCATGCGTACACAATGCAACTGGCTATAAATGATGCAAAAAAAATTGACACCTGACTTTGATGAAGTGTACCAAGAAGGAAGATCAATTGTTGGATATTATCGTCATAGTGTTTAAGCACAAGAAAGACTTGGTCGTATGCAAAGGAAGATGGGAAAACCTGAACACAGTCTTATTCAGGATGTTGATACTCGGTGGAACAGTGAGTATCACATGTTTAGTAGACTTGATGAACAGACAGGACCAGTTTCTGTTGAGTTAGCTGTGAGTGGCAAGTTGGCAAGATGGTATGTGAAATGGTCAACATTTTACAACCTATTGACCAAGCATGCACAAAATTCAGTGGAGAATCATATCCAGCCCTCTCCATGGTAATTCCTCTAATAATCAGCATACAAACGCTGCTGGAAAATTACATAAAAACTACAGGAAAAGGGAATGGCTTGGCATGTACAAAACAGTTGCTAAAAGCTTTCAAAGCTCATTTTCCCAATTACAGGAAGATGAAACCAAACGTTCTAGCCATGTTTATGGATCCTAGATTTAAAGCCATACAGTTGTCAGAAGATGAGGTCAAGTTGGCAATAAATTTAATTAAGAAAGAAATCAATGAACCTATTCCAGATCCACAGTCACAAGAGGAAGAAGTACAAGAAAGCTCTGAACCGTCTTGCTCACTATTGAGTTCTTTTGACAAACTTGCTAAAACAAACAAACCTACTGAAAATAAACATGTCAAGGATCTGATCAGCAAATACTTAATGGAGCCTGTTCTTCGTAGGCATGAAGACCCTTGAGTATGGAGGAAAAGTAATGCCTGGCAGTACCACTATCTTTAACCTCTGGCTCAACATTATTTACCCATACACAAAGGAGCAGCTTTTAAATAGGATAGGTGAAGGAAGAAGTCTATGGAAAAATCTAACTAGAAGAACAAATTGTAAGGGGAGACAAAGATTGGAATATGTTACCTAGATTTTTGAGGATGTGGGCTGTAAAAAATATGTGGAAATGAAGAGACTGGGGCAAGATAGACAGAAATGGAGGACCGCATCAAACCAGTCGGAAGACTGATGACAGAGAGAGAGAGAGAGAGAAAGGGCAATTTGCTAGTGAGAGGATCCACTGTGACTGTACGTAGAGGAAATCTGAACTCCAAACATGGAGCAACTGGTGTTTCTTCAACACAACATGTAGTACGAGTTTTTAAACAAGACACTTATGTGGCTAGTTTCTTTAAATGAATTTTAATTCTTAATTGTTCCTAAAAAGTGATGCCAGTCATTAAATTGTTTATATGAATGTGGTTGTGAAAATAAAAGTGATATACTGTCGCAGAAAAAGGTAAGATTATTGTTTTTAAGACTTGTTCTACTAACTAAAGTAGGCCTAGCTGGTAGCAGAAACATCTAATTTTTGAGAACCTACTATATAGCGCATATCTAGTGAAGTGTGTTGTTTAGTACTTACACAGGCGACTTCCGAGGTATCCAGTCTCATCAGAACCCTGATGATGGGGACAGAGTTGATTCCCGAAATGTTGGTTCACTACGGTAACCAGTTAACTCAGCTGATTGCCTGAGAAGATTTTATTGTATTGCTTAGTGTATAACAAAATAGGCCTAATAAAAGGTGATTTCTTACTTAAACTCAAACTTTGACTCGAAACTCAAGAATTTTAATACTGTTCGGTTTGAACTCAACTCAACTTAAAGAACTCTGTTCACACATCATTAATTTATTTAAATTCATTTAATTTAATTTTTATTTATTGTATATTTTCCTTATTTCATGTCCTTTTCTTCTTGTCCTTTCTTTACCTCATTATGTCATTCTGCATATTATATTTCCTGTCTGCTTCCATGTTTCTAACTCCTCCTCCCCACTCCAGCCAATCTGTGGTCCACTTGACTGCCTCCCTTGCCCTCTGCTCCATTGATCTAGCCAAGACTGTGCCTTATCTGACCTGTTTCTATATCTAACCCAGCTTTCCCATGTGTGGCTTACTCATTATGCTGATGATGGAGGCATTAAGCACATCTGAAAGAATGGTTATTTTGTACCACACTATACCTCACAGCCCAACATCTCAGAAGACTTTTTCCCCCTTGACGTTTTTAAACTTCCTTTACTACTTTCCATAATTATTTTTCCCTTTTTGGCTTATTGCCACACTAAAGAGCATGTAGCATTCATTCTGTTATTCTGACCATGTGCTGAATATTAGGTTGTACTTCCTATATTTCTAAGAAATAAACACATAAAGACATTGATGAGGATATGATTCCATCAACAGGACTTACTGTTCTGTTGTGAGTGCAGCATGCTGCTGCAGTGTGTTTCATTACCTGTAATTGGAAACAAATGTTGCTGTTCAAATAATTTATTTCTGTGGTATATCTGCACTTACTGTAAATTCTGTAGATTGTTTTGTGTGGAAAAGGTGCAGAAGATTTGCTGATTACAAAAGCTTCAGCAGCAAAGGAAATATGTTGACTTTAAAAGACCACTGACAAAGTTAGTATGCCTGTATATTTGTGCAGTTAAATTCCCAGAAGGTACAGGACTTGTTTCCACTGTAGGAAGTCCAAAACAGGAAGAAATGATATTTTTTTCATTTATTTATTTACTGTGTTTGTATAATTTATTTTCCATATAAACTTATATGTATGTTTATCACATGTTGCTGTTACAGCACAGTTTTGAAGTGAAATTCTAATAACAAGCCCTTAAAATTATTCTACATACTTCTGGTAAACTGATTGGATTGTTGGTAATTACAAGGGAGAAGCATAGCCACTTTATCCATTGGAAGAGTGAGCAACTACTGAGGGCCCTCTCATGTTAGTGGTCCCACCTGTGCAAGTGTCAGTGTCATGTGCTTAAGTAGGATTTGAGGCTTTCATAGCAGTGAGTCTGAAGATGGCTGTCTTCTGGGTTGTGTAATCTGGTAGAAGTTTACGAGTGGTTCAGAGGTATTAGCTGACTCCATCATCAGGACATTCCCGAAATGTTGGTTCACTACGGTAACCAGTTAACTCAGCTGATTGCCTGAGAAGATTTTATTGTATTGCTTAGTGTATAACAAAATAGGCCTAATAAAAGGTGATTTCTTACTTAAACTCAAACTTTGACTCGAAACTCAAGAATTTTAATACTGTTCGGTTTGAACTCAACTCAACTTAAAGAACTCTGTTCACACATCATTAATTTATTTAAATTCATTTAATTTAATTTTTATTTATTGTATATTTTCCTTATTTCATGTCCTTTTCTTCTTGTCCTTTCTTTACCTCATTATGTCATTCTGCATATTATATTTCCTGTCTGCTTCCATGTTTCTAACTCCTCCTCCCCACTCCAGCCAATCTGTGGTCCACTTGACTGCCTCCCTTGCCCTCTGCTCCATTGATCTAGCCAAGACTGTGCCTTATCTGACCTGTTTCTATATCTAACCCAGCTTTCCCATGTGTGGCTTACTCATTATGCTGATGATGGAGGCATTAAGCACATCTGAAAGAATGGTTATTTTGTACCACACTATACCTCACAGCCCAACATCTCAGAAGACTTTTTCCCCCTTGACGTTTTTAAACTTCCTTTACTACTTTCCATAATTATTTTTCCCTTTTTGGCTTATTGCCACACTAAAGAGCATGTAGCATTCATTCTGTTATTCTGACCATGTGCTGAATATTAGGTTGTACTTCCTATATTTCTAAGAAATAAACACATAAAGACATTGATGAGGATATGATTCCATCAACAGGACTTACTGTTCTGTTGTGAGTGCAGCATGCTGCTGCAGTGTGTTTCATTACCTGTAATTGGAAACAAATGTTGCTGTTCAAATAATTTATTTCTGTGGTATATCTGCACTTACTGTAAATTCTGTAGATTGTTTTGTGTGGAAAAGGTGCAGAAGATTTGCTGATTACAAAAGCTTCAGCAGCAAAGGAAATATGTTGACTTTAAAAGACCACTGACAAAGTTAGTATGCCTGTATATTTGTGCAGTTAAATTCCCAGAAGGTACAGGACTTGTTTCCACTGTAGGAAGTCCAAAACAGGAAGAAATGATATTTTTTTCATTTATTTATTTACTGTGTTTGTATAATTTATTTTCCATATAAACTTATATGTATGTTTATCACATGTTGCTGTTACAGCACAGTTTTGAAGTGAAATTCTAATAACAAGCCCTTAAAATTATTCTACATACTTCTGGTAAACTGATTGGATTGTTGGTAATTACAAGGGAGAAGCATAGCCACTTTATCCATTGGAAGAGTGAGCAACTACTGAGGGCCCTCTCATGTTAGTGGTCCCACCTGTGCAAGTGTCAGTGTCATGTGCTTAAGTAGGATTTGAGGCTTTCATAGCAGTGAGTCTGAAGATGGCTGTCTTCTGGGTTGTGTAATCTGGTAGAAGTTTACGAGTGGTTCAGAGGTATTAGCTGACTCCATCATCAGGACAATGACAGAGGCAGCAAGTACCTCTGAAACATCTGTATACTTCTGCCAGACTACATGGTGTTATGACCACAAGACAGCCATTTTCGAATTTTGTACTAGTATCAAATTGTAAGGTCTTCTCCTTTTTAAGAAAAGTATGGGAGCCACAAAATTCATATGTTGTCCAGAGCCCACCATTGCCGTAGAGTGGCCCTGTGAAAAATTGGTGGGGGGAGAGGGGTGACTGTGTATAACAGTCGTAACAACTCAATAAACTAAATATAAATCATTGCAGGGAACTGCAACTGACCATCCAGCAGGCTTGTCAACTATTGCAGCTCATGTAGCATCACTGTCTCTTTTACACCCATTGTTCCACCTACTTTGGTTGGGTAAGACTTCAGATAATTTAGAGTCACATTATGCACCTGTGACTCAAGAACCAGGCTGTGATATACATGTAGTCATGTTACACACCTTCCCACTGCAGTCCAAAAATGCAGCTGGTCTAATCGTACATCGTCAGGAGACAGATCCCTGTTTCCCACTGGAGCAGTTTCCACTTAGCAATGGACTGGTGAGTTTTCAGTCATTAAATATCAGATACATCGTTCAGCCTACTTTTTGTATTTCATAAGGAACTATAGGTCTGTGATATGTGTTTATGTCTGTACCATGAGTAATTTTTTTAGAAGAGACTTATTTTGTTTGATTAGTAGTAGGAGCCAAGATAACTTTGTCAGTATAGTGACTGATTATGAGCTGGACAACCACAGTTTGATTCCCAGCAGGAGCAAAATAGTTTTCTCTTACCCTCTGCATTCAGACTGGCAGGGTGTGTCAGTGAATGTAAACACTGAAATCTGATTTCTTCTCAGCTGGAATGAAACAGATGGTGTATCACAGGGACATGTTTCAATAACTATGGTCATTGTGTAGAATAATAGAGTGTTTTGTACATTATTCCTTATTCATTTGTACATCTATTATGTCAAAAGTAATAAATTTGGATGTAGCACATTCTCAGAACTTTCTTATTGAATGGCTGCTCTGTGTGTGTGTGCATGCGCACGCACAAGCATCAAGTGAAGGACTCAATAAATGATATGGATATTTTGTCATTATAGTTGAATGTGAGCAGCCTTGTACCTACACAGTTTGGTAACACCATGAAAGAGGCAACTCTTTCCTTTCTGGAAGAAGGGAAGACTGTTCAGAAAAACACTGCACGTCCAGTTTGCCACATGGAGATGTCTGCATTTCTCTTCCCAAGATAGCCTACCAGCTATAACATCACTTTGGTAACAAATATTTAAATCATGGGCCCACAAACCTTGCAGCACTTATGGAAAAGACCTTATATTTGTTTGAAATAAGTCAGAAAGTGACACTTTTTCCCCAGTGTGTTAGCTGATTGCACATACCACAGACAGCTGAACTTGAACTACTGTGAACTGTTGGTGCTGAGTCTATAGTACACCAGATATTCTTGCTAAGGTGAAAAACCGTTTTATAAAATCATAATATATAAATTGAGTTAGTTATGTTAGTGGCAGGTTTCATTTACACCTACATAGAACAGGTCCAGAATATTTCCCATAAAATGAAAATATTTTGAAATGCTGCTTAATCAAGAACCTTTTCGTACTATGAATGGTTGATATATAATTGGTATGAACATAAATGTTACTGATATTGTGTTGAATCTGGGCATGCCACTGAAAGAGTTCAGCGATGTTTGTTTAGTGTAGTACATTGAGAAAAAAAGGTCCCTGAAAGTCATATTTGTCTGAAGGAGAGGGTAACTTATTTCATACCAAGAAAGAGCTGCTGCTACGTGTGTCTCCTGGAACTGCACTTTGAAGTTTGTTGTGACTTGAATGTTAAGATTACTGGCACATGAAATGTATGGTAATATCATAATTGGTGAAATTTTGTGTTGTAGAATCTACAAACCAGTATTTTTGTACAATCATTCAAGAAACTTGGACTTCAGATTTCTGGGCTGTTGGGTGGATAGTATATCCTTTTCCCTTGGTATGTAGCTGTAAAATAAATTTTATGGTACTAACAGCAACTAAATGCAGTAAGATTCTATAGTGATCTTCCATATTAGTTGGAATAAAAATTTGACTTATGGAGACAGATTATAAAATCCTAGGGTGAAAAGAAATAGGTAAGATTACAGGAGAGACTCTATGCAACAGGCTACGTGGTATAAATATTTTGGGTCGTTCATCAATCAGACACTGTCAATGGAAGCAGATAGTATCATCAGTTTTGAAGTTTCATTCTGTTTTGGTGAGTCTGTATGTTGAGATAACTATGTTATATCAGACTAAGTCAAGCTAGTAGCTTCTTTCATCTTGAGGTAATAGCATAAGCAAAACATTTTCAATGATTGATAAAACATTACAAACCCTATTTGTGATTGTGTTAAGCATCCAACAGTTGCAAAGAGACAGAATAAATCAGTATTACATTCTAATTATTTAACAGTATCATTATGCTTTTGTATTGCACAATAAAAGTGGTGTTTTGTTTTATTTTTACATTGCTGTTATTGTGGTGAAGAAAACATCAAAACATCAGATAGGTTATAGTTGGGCTGTCAAAACTGTGTGAATGAACTGCACATTTCAGCTACATTGAAGTCCATAGAATTGTGAGAAAATAAACATGCGTATGTTTTGTACCTGTAGTATACACAAAAGAATATTATTACTGTATGGAGTTTCATCTTACAGCACTTATTTCCTGTGATTTACCTTGTTTTCAGTTTGTTCACCAACTGTAGTGGTGATGATCTCCATAGTTTCATGCTTAAATAAATTGTAGGTTCATGTGTGTTGTGATGAGTGACTTTTATTACCTGCTCATTTCTGTTTGAGTAACAATCATAAATTTTATTATTTGTAATGACTCAAATGACTTGTGTAGTGATGGGAGTATGTTTCTAAGGTTTGTTTTGTATGGATAAAAATGGTAAAGTTAAATTATCTTTATCAAAGGTGACTTTAACATTAAGGTTAAAAATTGTTAATATGATTTTCATGTGTTTAAAATTAAGTTTGCCGATAGAATTTATGAAGAGAGTTGTGTGTGAGATTTCAGGTTTTTGCATCAGTGAATATGAAGATGGCTATATTCTGGGCTGTTGCACCATGTAGTGTGGTAAAAGTTTACTGACATTGTAGAGGTGCTTGCTGCCTCCAACATCATGGTGTTGAAGGCAGAAATCACCTCAGAAACATTGATAAACTTTTACCAGACTACACAGTGCATAATCCCAAAAGACAGCCATATTGTTCAAAGTTATTTGTAACTTTGTAGAATAAAGTCCAGACATGTAATTATTGAAATTTATAAATTTACTAAAAAATAAACTCATTAAGAAGCTTTATAATTGAGGTATTGGTAGATTGGTGAAGGAAGATAAGTATTTTGTAGTAAACTGGCACTGGAAGCACCATACTTACTCAGAGATCACATGCATCCCCTCTCCTACCCTACCCCAAAAAGAAACTATTTTTTTTATATCATGTTGAAGTTCAGTCTTTTCCAGAACCAGTATATTGGTGGCACAGTTGGTCTAATTAGGAAATCCACTTAAAACCCATGCATTTTCAATTCTTATAAGTCAAACTAATAATATGTGGTATGCATGTTTCTGAAAGCTTGCAGAAGTTGTACTTATATTGGTACTAAAAATTTAGGTTAGCATAAAACAAAGCTACTTATATGGGCTTATGAACAAATTTGTGTTCAGTTGCAGGTTGAAAACTGCAAATCAAGTTTGTGTAAATTTCTGTATTAACTTATAATGAAATATACCTAAATATATAGTTTAGTAAACTGTATTTTGTTTGGTTATATCATATGCATATACATTTAAAACATACAGCTGGATGTTTTCTATTACAGAAAATTGCAGAATAGTTATGGATACTGATGAAAATATGAATATGCAGATGGGGTATTGTGTAAGCATGTGTAAGAGAATAAGGCTGTATTGAGTATTAAGTGATAATTTCTTTTGAAGTTTTTGCATTAATAAAATGGGGTGCATGTGGCATACATATTAATACAGTTACTGTTGTGCTTATCTGAAAATTAATCGTTTTAGGTATGTAAGATTATCCCACAAAGAACATAACACTTTTCATTTCCTTTCTATTGACTTCACTTCTTGTCTGCAGAATCTCTTCATTCTCCTACAATTAAGTCCATTTCCTGACATTGCAATAAACCCAATGCAAAGTTTGTTTTTAAGGCCTGCCTCCCTGTACCAGCAATGCCACCAATTACTCAGTTTGTCCCAGAACCTGACCTGTGTTTCTCTGTCTACAGTACCACTAACATTGTTTTGAACAGCGCTACTCTACAACAAACCAATAATCTTCCATGTTTGATCTCTACTGGATCTTAATATTCCAGACTTGTTTTCAAAGAAACATCAGCCATTGCTGTCCTGACCTGTTTTCCTTCTTCAGTTGAACCTACTAAAAATATTTTGCAAACTGACATCTCAAAGAACTGTATGAATGTCTACTGCAGTTAGATATTTCTAAATACTTGTCTTTTCCTAAATTTTATAGCCTCTTTAGTCTGTTATCATTCCACTGAGAAAATTAATAGGAATTGTAGAGTCTAGCTTCTGTTCTTATCTTTGTTGGCTGCTATTGTGATAAATTATGATGAGTGCTTTTCCTTTTGTCACACATTCAATACAGATAGTGTAGTAGATTTAAAGACCTTTAAATTTTAACAGGATTGTGTTTTCCAATAAAGAAACAGCATTTAAATTTACAAGGCAGGACTGGTATAATCATAATTTTCAATAAATTGTATACACATAGTAAGATGTATTTGTATGTTGTGATGTATACAGTATTATTTTGTGTTGTACTGCTCATTTATGGATTTGAACGTGGTTATGAATTTCACTATGTTACTTCTTTGTTTGTGGTATCTTATGGTAGTTATGAAAGAGAGGTACATTATATTTCCCTTTTAAAAATTGAGATAACTTACATATTTATAGTACTCAAATTCAGATATACATACCTTGTATACTTAAAAAAAGGAAAAACTTCTAAAAATACTTGGACAAATGGTCTGTAGTTTCTTCCACAACAGCAAATACTTTTGTTGGAAATCATATACTATTAGTAAATCTGATACATTGGCAACTATTGACACAAATGGCATGTTTAAGAATAGCATGTTATGTATACATGTATAATTTTTCCTTGTGTAAGTTCTTTACCTTCATAAATAAATGGAAGGTTATAAAAATATTGTTGTTGTTACCCATCTTGTGACAGTGAATTGAGTTTTGAACCATGTTAGAACTTAGACACTACTTTCATGTTGCAGATGCATAAGGTCATCGGACTGATATTTGTAATAAAGAGATGCCAAATCAATAGTGATGGGTCTGCCTAGTTCACTCAAGCTCACTCCAGGAAAGAAGTCATTCACAGAGACTCATTTCATAGTTCCTTAGCCCCATGTAGCTCCATAGCTGCTCAGCTGCAGACACTCTGTGTGGAATATGCTGCTGGGTGTTATCCTCATGGGGTGAATTGTCTTTTGATAGCCAAGTATTAAAAACTGTAGAATTTTGAAGATTTTATAGATATTAATAGTAGTTCAATATTAATTAATATTATGATAAATAACAAACCAGATGTGATTTTAATTTATGGGTGATTTTAAGTATTGTCTGCTTAAATAAGAGTAGTGAAGAAAATAAATTGTTGGTGAAATACAGTTTCATACAAAGCACTTAAGTAATGTACTGTACAACTGGTATGGAGCAGACTGTGAGCAATGCAACTTCAGTGTAAGTTGGAGTCATTCCTTTTTTGTTTGTGACTCACATTGCTACGTTGTTCACAGTTCCACAGCTGTCTGCACACCTCAAATCAGTCCATAAAACAGTATACATTACCATCTGTCAGTTAAGTTATAAGTAACTTTTTAATATGTTAATCTAACACTATTTTTTAAAGTATTTTGGTTCCTCTTCCCCAGCTTTCTGTAATCTAAATCTGTAAAACTGGTGTTCATATTCCAGTTCAGAAAACTTCTAAGGCAACCTGTTATGATTCAGCACACAATTAGCCCAGAGAATTGATGTGTCAACACATGACAGTTTACCCATCCCTGACTGATGTATTTTACTAGAAAATGCAAGACACTACTTTCCTGCCGTGATTTTACTGAAATTTGAAATGAGGCAATAATATTGGGAAAACGGCTATTTTTTTAGTAAATATGCCTTATCATGATTGTGAAAGGAATTTTAGCTGAGTACCCATAATATGTGAAATATACCAGAAAAAGTGTAAAGATTCCTTCTAAGTCAGAATGAGTCAGCATTCTATCTTGTAAATGATGATGAGAAATTATTTTCCATCGGTGCTTCCTTTTATAAAAAAGATGTCAGTACTTAGATATGACAAAGATGGGACCATACTCCTTAAAGTTTGACAAAATGTAAATCATCTTATCAAAAACAACAAATCATCTTAAGAACGTGAATAATGTATTAAACAAGATTGTAAACAAATACAGTGTACTTTTAACAGGTGCATCTGGCAGATATGCTTAATAAGTATATGTGCTGTTATGTAAAGTTGTCTTTAAAACTGTCTGATCTAAATGGATGTTGAGATGTTTGGCAGTTTTTCATAGAATAGTGCAGTTTCATATTGAATCAAAATCAGTTCATCCATTCTCAAGTTGTTCATGCATATAGATAAAGAGAGAAATTTTGGTAGGAACTGCAGTAAAAGTATAGCTTATAATAAATGTATCATAGTTATTTTTTTCTTTTCTTTTCTGATTAGGTGCTGCATGAACATGGGATACATATTGTTTGTTTTATCTAGCAGTTGGTACCAAGGTTAAATGGAAACATGTATGAAACAGAAAAATCAGGGTTTTTTTAATGTTATCATCAGGTTTAACATAGAACTTAACCTTGAGTATATGGAAATAGGGGATTTAAATGTCCATGTTGTGGGGCTGCTGGCCAGAATTTAACTCAGGGTTAACAGTGTGATTCTGTGATACAGCCAGGCACATAAGCATATGGATAGTAAAGATAAATAGCTTATAAGATTCTCAGGTATCAAATTTCATCAGGATTGTCATTTGTGAGTTATTTCATGCATACTGACAAATGAGCAGGTTTGATAGGTGTTGTGCAGGGTAGTGAATGTAACTAAATTTTTGTAGGACAAGTTTAATGAGGTTATTTCATATTTTATGAAAGAAGGTGGTGATACAATGGATTGCCAGATGAAGAAAAGTAACTGTTCTTTATTCTATGTGACATACTGTTGTACAAGAGCAAAAGATAAATACTATTTATTTGTTACAGGAAAGGAGTACAAAATACTAATATAGAATCTTACTATATTCTTCCCATAAATGTTTGTAGTGTTGTGTAAAGGGGTAGTTTCTCTTGTACCATATGATTCTGTTCTTAAAGAATAATTACTGATTATAATCCGTTACTACTAACAGCATGTCTAGAGAACAGCAGTAGGAATGTTGAATTCAAACCAAGTTCCATATGCATTGCACAGAAAAGCAAAAGGATTTGCTTCAGTGCAAATATGAAGTGGATTCTTCCTGCTTTCTAATGGATACATGTTCACGGTAGTCTTTTGTACATTGTGTCTTAATAAAGTATCAGTTTCAGACACAAAGTGAAACCAAATTTTAAAGGCTCGCAAGTACAGTGGAAAATAAAATCAGTGTGTGTGTGAACTTTTATCCTCTTTCATATTTAATTTATTAAGTTCATTTTTGTTAGTAATTTCTCAACTGAAAATGCTGCATTCCAATTTTACATAAAGAAAACTGAATTACTGTTTCATATCCAAGTAATGCATGAAATAAATTATGTCAACTGGTTTAATTTCTTAAAAGTGCTTAATATTTTAGAGGACATTTAATACTGTATACTTGAAGTATTTACTATTTGAACATGCTCAGTGACAGTCTGAGCAAATTAGATCTATATAGAATTTTTAACATCTTGAATATTAACAAAGTGGGACAAATTTAATATATCCAGTATATTTTCCACCTCAAAAGTGAATTCATAATGGCCTGGTTTTGAATATATGTAATGTATGAGCCATTTAATTCTCATCATAATCATTTCCAATGGTGAAGTAAAGTAGTTCCACTACAAGCCATGGATACATTTGGGGCCTCACAATTAGTTGAGGGTGAATGGTATCCCAGGGGAAAGAACCATTGGTACCCATTGGATAAGAATTTGGGTAGACTCCCAGAGCCAGTATGGATGCAGAAACTAGAAGAAAAATCCTTTGCCCTTGCCAGGGATCAAACCCATCATCCAATCTGTAGTCAGACTGTACTAATTGAGCTACCCCAGAATACTGATCCCCCATCAATGCCTATTACTCTTTGTTGCTTTTACAGGGTAAAGTTTGAGGTATGTTTCTTTCCATCACATTCTTGATCTTTTCCAGTGGTCTTTTTCCTTATAGTCCACATTTCATTGCCACTTTGGGTAATGTTTCCTTCCATTCATTCCACATGACTGAATCACAAGTAAATCTTGGTTCTAAATTAAATTTCATGATACAACAGGAATCAGTTCTGCAGTTGTGAATGCTTTTTGGTTACAGCTCTTAGGTTGAGGTACAGTATGTACAAAAAAACATAGCAAACTTCCCTCTTTTTATCCCTATAAAATCATTTTGGGCAATCAGCCACATCACTTTGTCATCCAAACCCTGATGATGGGGATGGAGACAATTCCCAAATCATTGGTTGCTTGATGTAACCAATTGACATGGCTGATTGCCTGATAATATTTTACTAAGTTTAGTTACTGCAAAAGCTTCAGATCATGTATTTCCTCATTTATCATAATTTTCGTACAGTGGATGCATGATCTCATTGCAACAGTTTTAGATCATTCAGACACTGGGATTACACACACACTGCATGTATGTATTGCTACAGAACACTACAAATTTGTAAAAGGTGGATATTTCATTTAAGCAAGCTCAGACATTGTAAAGATAAAAACAAACAAAACATACAGCCTAGGAAAGCAAGACAACCACTTCAACCAAAATCACCAGATATAAATGTCATACAAAAGTGTAAAAATATCAAAAACCAAAATGGCAGAACCTACCAAATACAATGCTATAAAGCAGAAATCCACAAAGAAGAAAAAAGAATCATATTTAAACTAAAGGAGTCAGTATTCATCAAAACAAGCCATGAGTACCATATGTACAACATAATTTCAGCAATAACCATTCTGGGCCACCTGAATGGTCATAATTCAGTATACTAGCCTAGTATTAATAAATCCTGGGTTCAATCCTGACCATCACCACTAACCTAAACAAATCTGTAGTAAAATAATCACCTGAAGGCAGGTGTAGAACCAACTTTTGAATCATACAAGAAATATACCTCAGGCTGGGCAATGTCCATCATAGTGTTGTAATGAATTGTCACAACTTCTTAGGATCACTGGAAACAAAAGAGTAGAATTTGTTTAAGCTCCATAGAACCTTCATGGGCCAAGGATGAAGAAAAAGTCATAGCACAAATAACGATATTTGTTTCTAATGCAAATATAAATTATATAGTTGTGACAGTGATTTACAGTCAACTACAGTATTATCACAAAAATATACAAGAAAGAATCACTACTATTGCTTCCATGTACATACTTGTAATAGCTGTGAAATTTTGGTTGAGGTAAATTCTTCTATGGAGGTGTGATATAGGCAATAACTCTTTTAGGATTTCTTTATATCGTGATTCAGACTTTTTATAGTGGGGTTAGATTACTGTAATTCCAGTGTAGCAAACTCGTTTTTGACATTTACCGAGGTTTGTGTTGACATATGAAGGTTTATATTGTGGATATCTGAGTTTGTTTGAAATATTTGTGTTGTCCATTACAAATGATAATAATGACAGCAAGAATTCACTGGCTAGTGGAAGAATATTAAATTTCTTATACAATTCCATATGTGAGGCTTTCCTTTTAGTGCCTGCCATAATTATAATGATTTTCTTTTGAATATAAAATACTTTGTTGTTGCCTGTTGAGTTTCCCTAGTAAATAATTCTTTGTGACATGATCAAATGGAAGGAAACAAAGCAGACTAATTTTAAAGTTTCTGTTTTCATAAGTGATGTGACATTCCTCATAGCGAAGTATGCTGAGCTTAGTTTAACCATAATGTATTGAATATATTTTCTAATTTACGTTATTTTCAATTTGTAGAGCAAGACATTTTATTGTTTCTACTTATTCAATTGGTTTATCCTCATACCCATGCCTAGATTAACAAAAATTTTGTTGGTAGTACGAAATTTAATGAAATTTGTTTTTTCAAAACTTCTTCTTCTTAAAGTGCCTATCCGTTCCAGATGTTGGCGATCAGCATAGCGATTTGAGCTCTACTGGCTGCTGCTTGAAACAGCCCTCCAAAAACTTAATGTGAGTTTATTAGCTTTAATCCATTTGCTCAAGCTAGCAAAGACATCATTCATGCAAATATGGAAACAGTCAATTTCTGGATGTGAAATAAGTATCTGCAAAAAGTATGGGTTTTGACTGAGATTTAATGGTTGGTGGTAAATCATTGCTATTTATAAGGAAAAGCAGAGAACCAAGGACCACTGGGGAACTCCATGTTATATAATGCCCAAATTTGAATAGGTGTTATCTGAATCTGATGATTTTATTTCTTCTTTTTGTCTTCTGTAATGAAGGTATGATTTAAACCACTGACCAGCTATATTTCAAATTCCATAAAAATGTAATTTTGACAATAATAATTCATGATTTAAACAACAAAATGCTTTAGAAAGATCACAAGATATTCCACTAACATTCATTTTATTATTAAGAGCACTTAATATTTCATTTGTAAAACTGAAAAGGGCTTTATTGGCTGAGAGACTTTTCCTAAATCCAAACTGTTCACTTGCAAGGACACTGTTTAAAAAGTTATTCTCTTATACATACATGACTTTCTCAAATATTTTACAGAATGCTGTTAGTAATAAAATTTATCTGTTGTTAGAAATGCATGATTTTTCACCCTTCTTTTTTTTCAGAGGTTTAACTTTTGAAAATTCAAGTCATTCTGGAAAAATTACTACTGCCATTTATTAATTGCAAAGATAATTTAAAGAATCATTAACATCTCACAGCTTTTGAGTAACCACATTAACTGTTTGAATTGAGAGAATTCATTATATTTTTAAATTTGTTTACTGTTGACAGAAACTTTGTCAATAGCAATACTGGGGTAATTCTGAATTTTTGTGGGGGAATTGGCTATTGACATGGGATTAAAAGACGGTAGTTCAGATATTGTTTGTAGTAACTTTCAGTAAGATAATATTAATGTCACCACAAATGACTAATTCTGCTGTAGGTTTATAAAGATAATTTATAATGGTTTCTAACTTAATTACAAAAGGGTTTTCCTTATGAAAGTATAGAGTGAGTTCACTTAGATACATACATCTTTATTACATTCCATGGATCCATAAGTTAGTCAGATCACAATAGGATGTAGAACAAGTCATAATGATACATGTTATACAAATACAAGTCATACTATTATATAAATGTCACAAAATACAAACAAAGGGTTCACATAAAGTAGAGATAAGTTACAAATAAATCCACCCATTATATACAATAGATAAATTATGAATTACTTGTAAACATTAGAAATTCATCGACAAAGTAAAAGGAGTGTGTAATTAAGTATCTTTTTAATGCTAGTTTAAATTGTGCCTTTTTATTTACTAGACTTGTGAGATTTGATGGTAGATAGGTGTTTAAATAAAACTATGCAAACGTGTTCGCATATGCATTACAACCATGGACTTTGCCATATACCTATTCGTTTTCCAAAGTATCTTTTAGCACTGCCTCAACCTAAACAATGATACGGTGCTGCTCCATAACGAGTTGTCACTCAAAACGTGTACTGTCTATGAATTGTCTATATGAAAAGCGATATGTTTTCTTCTTCTCCTTGGCGCAACAGTTTTCTGCTAACATATTATTATTCTCTTGCGTCAGCTGGATGGATTACCTGTATGACACGAATTATCTACATGTGCATGATAACATTTATTTCGATACATCTACGGCCAATACCAGGCGAATACAAAACGTGGACCAATCCTAACACGCCGCGGTGCATATCGTGGGAGTGAATCCACTGCCCGAAGCGCATTACTACGCCAGGGTATGTTGGTAAAACGAATGTATTTTACAATTAAAAGCATATTTTGTGTTCTGTGTTTGGTTTTTCATGTAAGTAGCGCCTAATGTGACTCATATCGTAGAGACACCTTATGTTACAGTTAAATGAATTACAACAGCGGTCTATTCCGTTCAATGTCGTGTGGTCTTCAAGCAGAATATAGGTGGTCATGAATAATCCGAGCATGTAGTTGAAATGGCAGTTGAACAGTGATTACGTAGGCCATGTCTGGGGTTATGTGTGATGGTTAAAATTGTATTCGTGTACATGGATGAAACCTTATAAACAGAATATAGTAACAAAGTGTTGTTAACAGTACTCATTAATGTTTTGTAGAACACGTATATGTGGATCATTACATAAGGTTAGGCACATTATTAGACTTTTACGGACTTGTTTCCTAGGTCTTAGGGGATTGTTTATTGCTGTCTGCAACAATTCACATGAATGTATCTTGGCCATTGAATTGGTGTGAGACATAGGGCCTAAATGCATACTGTTTTCGTTGGTTTGGCGTATGTACCTTTACAGGCGAAATGCGACACAAGGCACAACTATTATTGCTTTTGATGCTGTTGGTGTGGGTGGAGGTTGATGGAAGTAATCAAGATGGTATAAAATCAAGACGTGATGAGAAACAAGAAAGCAAAGAAGAGTCTGACACCAAAAATGATCAAAATGTATATTTGAATCGTATTGACAGTATTCGTTCTAATGCTGTGAGGATTGTTCCTGCTCCTGACTTATCAAAGTCAGAAGAAAAATGGAAAGGTGATGATGATAGTGAAGCTGGAGATGTGGAAGTGGAGTTACTATCTGAACAAGCCAAATGGATCCAAAGGATGATTGCCGAAGTAGAAGGGGTAGGAACCGAGTTATTGGATGAAGGAGATGAGGAAACAGTTGATGTTAGAGAAGATGAAATAGAGGATTTGACAACAGTACACCCACCAAGAGAGCTTACACCTCTGGAAAAGCAAGGTCAGAAAATTATTTAACATCTTTCATCAGCTGTTCTCAGATAACAGTTTATTGGGCCAAGAAAATTGGTCTGATGATGTGATGTCTTAGGTTATGATATAATTCATTTAACATTTGCAACATTTTACATCTTTCACCGTCCTTATGCCTTGTCACTTTTAATATCTCAATTCTAAGCATATTGCAACTGAATACAGATAGGCTGAAATCCAGTAATAATTCAGAAATGTTTATAGTGTATGTAGCAGAAGAATCTATTTTACATTATTGAATAATACAGTTGTTTATGGGCCAATATATATATAAAACTAGTAAATCTACAGATGTCATCAAACACCAGTGTGAAGTAACCTTTACTAACCTACCTGAACACTGAATGAAATTGCCTTTGTAACTTGTAACTGTAGCTCAAGTTGAAAACTTCAGCTACCTTCCAATCTTAAGATGATTGTCCTCAGAGTTAAAGTATAGGAAGGATTTCTGTGTTTGAGTGTTAATGTTATTAATTTTTAGGAAATTCCCCTAATTAATAATATCTTCTCATGAATGTGAAAGAGATAGTTATAACCTTCTTTAAGTAGCATAATTATAAACTTTAATGCATGTTGTTTGACTAGGAAATTATGCCATTTTGTGCTACCCGGTAGAGCATAAATATTAAATGTGCCGTAAGTTACTTACCAGTCTAGTTATAAAGTTGTGCTTTAAGATTAATTGAGTGGACTATTGAGTACATGTGCAGTGTTGTGTTTTTGTTAACATGCATGCATGCTTAAATGCATACATATGTGTGCACACGCACAAACATAAACATGCAGTCCATTGATCCACAAGTTAATCAGAATTACATTATGATGTGGAATGAGTCAAAGATATTCAAAACAAATTCATTTTCTAAATAATATTAATATTTCACCTGAAATAGAGGTTTTGCATATAGTTTACTAGTGTTGTATTAAATTAATATGTATACAGTAGATAAGTTGTGTGAGTTATATAGAGTTATATAAAGACAAAACCTAACAGATTTATGAGTTATTTGTAAACATTAGAAATTCCTCAACCTAGAAGTTCTGAACAGCTGAATATGATTGTCAGGTGTTCATTATCAGAAATGTGAAAAATGTACATAATGGTTTATTCCATCACTTCCAGCCTTATTTCCTGCTTCCAGTTTATGCAACAAAGTGCTGATTGGTGGTGGGTGGGTGGGTGTTAGAGGTTTCATTCATATAACAAAATTCCTTTGCTTACGTGATATTACAATAGCTGCTGAATGTGATGTCCTCTAATGCTCTGTCACTTATTACACTGACATTACAAATTCTATGACAGATATTGAAGTTTACCTTCCAAATTTCAAACTGTAATGCTGCAAAAGAGTATGGATTATTTCTACAGTATTTGTATTTCAAGTTTTCCAGAGATAAAAATCATACTTATTCATTGAGTTCAAATTGGGTTTTCTGAAGTGTGATGGTACACAGGCCTGCTGAAAATATGCATAATTCTATATCTTAACAGGAAATGTGTTTTTGTCATTACTGTATCTCAGTTTGGTAGTCACATAAAAATGCTCATAGTTGACATGTTACAAAAGCAAAAATGCTTTGCGGAAGACTGTATTTATTGCATGACTCACTATGCTGATCACTGACTGTCATCAGTTGCTCAAACAAAATACTGTAGCAGTCAGATCGACCACTCTTCTTGAATCCTGTATATTAAAAATGGAGAATACCATTCTTATTGTTAAAGTTAGAGTTTATTTACATCCCTTTGATCTTTGGGCTAAACGAAAGGATATATGTAGGAAATGTCATAATAAAAGTACAGAACTTATTTCACATATAGATATACCTACAGCTTAAGAATTGACAATTGTCAAAGCCTGAAGGAAAGAGAGGCATAAATGGGAGGACTGTATTAAAATAGATTGTAGATAAGGCCCGCCTAACCTGTAGCTCGTGGGCAACATGTTGCCAGCGACATGGTGTTATATTGCCCGTGGAGACATTTGAAATAAGAAAACATCTTTTAACCTTATCCCTGACAACAGTGCTGTAGGATGGTGAAGCAGTTCCACCCATTTGCTGTCAAATTATGAAAGAAAAGTTACCACCAATTCCATGTTCCCAAGTGACCCTATCATAAATCCTTATTGTTAGCGGTTGTTCTTTGCGAGGATTAAAATAACTTTGGCAATGATTGCTGACATGTATTGTTATGGGGATGTTTTCTAGTTAACGACTTGCTGATGTGCAGGCACCAGCAGCGGCTTCTTTCTGATATTTTCTTAAGTTAAAATCCATGCAATAATATTGTAGAAAGGTTATGAGCATTTTATTTTTGGAGACATATGTTACTAATTCATTTTGTAGAAATGTGCTTCAAATACACACACCCTAGTCTAGGTTGTGAATTGCATTTTTTACAAATTTTTCCCATTATCATCAGTATATTTTTATGGTATGTAATGAATAGAAAAATACACAGATAAAAATATGAATATTATTATATGTATACAGCCCACATTTTATGTATTGAACTTCATGTTGCCCGCATGCAGACCACATTTTGCCGAAGTTGCCCACACAACAAAAAGGTTTGGCAGACTTGTAGATAAATGGGTGGGAGGGTACATTAGGGTCAAGATAGGGATTGGTGACTGGCTCTTTTGAACACAATAATGAATCTTTGCATTCCACAAAAGGTGGGGATTTTTGTAACTAGTCTCAGAAATTTCTGAAGGACTCTGCTCGATTCAGTCAGTTATTCATATACATAGATGAAAACATATAAACATAATATAGAATTAAGTTCTGTTAAGAGTATTTATAAATGTAATACATATGTGGTATGAGAGTGTGAAAATTGTTGAACAAGAGAAAACCAAGAATCATCATATGTGGATTATTATGAAATGTTCTCTTAGTTCAATGGAACTAGTTCAGGTATTCATTTTTATTATGTTACAGCTCTGAAACTGTATGAAAGTGGACTTGCAATGTTGAATGTGACACGTCCAAATAAGCTTGAGGCATATCAGATGCTGCAGCGAGCAGGTGAGCTGGGTCACAGCCAGGCAAGAGTCTTAGTTGCTTGGGCACAGCTCTTGGGTTCCCCCATGCCACAGGATATTGAAACAGCTAAACAGGCATTTCAAGAATTGGTTGAATTGGGTGTTCCAGATGCGCACATGGTAAGTTCAGCACTTATAATCAGCGTTTGAAGTTAGAAGCCCAAGGCTTCTGGCTTGTTATGATACTGAAATCATTGGTTTCACACTAGTTTCTTGCTCTTTAAGCCCAATAATTTGTGACAAGTGTTTGTATGAATTCTTGGTCCTAAATCAGATACCGGTAAATAACATGGCAGATAATTTTTGAGGAATATGTTTAAACATTTTTAACAGCTGAGCATGCAAGTAGAAATGGAATGACAGAAAGCTTCATACTCACTGCTGTGAAAACCTCAAATCTTACACAGAAATGGAATTATTCCTTTAATCCTTTAATAATCCAAACAAATAAAAGGTTTGCTGCAATTATTTGAATTGTATGCATGTTGTAGATTTTGTATGAATATATGACCTTGTGTTATCACTTAGATCCACAGTTTTATTGGGTTGAATGGAAAGTTTTTTTGTGTTTTTCAGATGAAAAGTCATGATCGTTTTTTTGCAAAATATATTTAAAATATTCAGTCAGTTATATAATTTCCATTGATTACCACCTCCGAACATGTCACAAGCCTTTCGGTTCCGGCCTTGTAAAAACTTACTGGTTTTGATTCACAATATGCCATAGGATACCATCGTTGACCTCATTGAATCTTTCAAATTTCTTGCTTTTTAAATGGTTTTACAGTGATCTGAATAAATGATAATTGGATGGTTCCAAGTCTGATGAGTATGGTGGGTGGTCCAAAACTTGCCAATTCAGTTCCTTTATTTTTTGCTGTGTCATTGAGCTAACATGGGGATGGGCGTTGTCCTGGTGAAAAACAACAACTTTTCTGTTGATAAGATGTGGATGTTTTTCTTTAATGCATTCGTTTACTCGGTCCAATTGTTGATAGTAAACGTCTGAATTGATGGTTTTGTTGGGTTAGAAAATGCAAAACCTTTCCGTTCAACCCAATACTTGCTAATAGGTTTGTGATGTAGACCTTTTACTGTAATTATGTATATTGATGCAGGGTTTGGGATTTCTTTATGCCACTGGCATTGCTGTAAATGCAAGCCAAGCAAGAGCCATTGTTCATTACACATTTGGAGCTATTGGAGGTAGTTTGTGGGCACAGATGGCTTTGGGTTATCGCTACTGGTCGGGAGTGACTGTTGCTACAAGCTGTGAGAGAGCCTTGGACTTCTATAGAAAAGTTGCAAACAAAGGTAAGTTCAATCTTCTTTACCCAATTAAAAATGCAATAGACATCTTAAGATAACATTTAATTTGATTTAAAATGATGTACAGTTTTAGATTGGTTAGTTTTACGTAATTTTAACTGCGTTATTTTTACAATTTTGTCCATCATTCTCTGTTAAATGTAATAATTAATGTTGTATTAGATGGTTTATTACATTTAATTTGGAAAGGTTGATACAGTGGTAAAAATAACTACGTACTTTGAATCCAGTCTTTCTTGACTGTATTAATGATTCAAATACAATATAATCTATATTTAACAGACATCATTTTGATGGATTTCAGATTTAATAGACACCATCTGATATTTCCAGAACTTTTCTGGACATGGGATATTTGTCAGTTAAAACTGAAAATGTCCACTAATGACTTGTAGCCATGAGTGTAGATTTAAGGCCAAAATCATTCTAAAAGACAGTACATGTAATATTAAAATGATTATAAAATACTGTACAAACAACTTTTGAAATACAATATTATACTATATAATTATATGTAGTTTATATATAAAGTTTAATACAGCCTTTTTATATTGTATTAAACTTTAAAGTTTGTTACCAAGACTGTCCAGCTGATTTCTTTGAAGCTTACAAGTAAGTAAAGTTTTCTGTGGGAGGGCACAACCTCCAAACCTGGAGGGCCAGGATTTTCTGTCAGGGTTTACTCCCTTAGGTGGGTTGGCTTTACCATGCCTAAAGAGCTCTCCCTGCCCTATTGTTGTGGGGCACACTTCGTCTCGCTCCTCTGCCAGGGCCCCTCCAACTACAGTGACCCTGCCAGGAGTCTATACACCTGCTGGCATAGCCCCCAGCATCCTTGGAACATGCAATCCCCCCCACCATGAGAAGATGGTGCCCCATGGGAGGGCCCTTTGGTATAGACCCAAAGGAAGGAAAGATCCTGGAAGACCATGCCAAAGGTGGGTTTCATAGAAATCGGAACAGGCTGTTGGCCTAATCCGTGAATTGGAAAAGAAGAAGAAACTTTGAAGTCTAAAAGAATACTAAAAGTACAATACAGGTATGTACATTTTCTTTATGATGAAGTATCATGTTGTTGAATTAAATAACATTATTATTATTCCATTTATTCACCACTATGTGAAGAGATAAGTGCTATACAATATTCTTATTAAATTTGGTATACCAAAGAAGCTAGTGAAACTAATAAAAATGCTCTTAAATGAAACCTGTAGCAAAATTTGTCTATCTGAGTCATTATCCATCAAGAACTGTCTGAAACAAGGAGATGCTTTGTCTCCATTGCTCTTTAACTGTACGCTCAAATACACCATCAGGAAAGTCCAAGGTAGGCAAGAGGTTTGCTGTTGAATGGAACACATCAGCTACTGGCATATGCTGATGATGTTAATATACTGGGTGATGATATAAATACAATAAAGATGAACACAAGTTTTACTAGAGGCTAGTAGACAGGTGGGGCTTGAAGTAAATTCAGAAAAAACTAAGTACATGTTGGTATCCCGACAGCAGACAGGTAGACAGAAATGTCTTAGAGTGGCTAATAAATCGTTTGAAAGTCCAGATACTTGGGAAGAACAATAAGAAATCAAAATGATATTTATGAGGAAGTTA